GTGGTTTTTCTATATAAATTTGGCGTGTTGCCAGTCACTGAGGCTCATACCTTTAGTAAGGGAACGATAATTGGTCATTTTTTTAGTTGGGCTGCAGTAGATGACGCTTTGCTGGTTTGGATATTCTCTTTTCTTTTAGAATAAGCCGGGCGGTCATTTCGGTGCGACATGGGTCAGGGAAAATCCTGGTCTGTCGCTTGAATGTCAAATAACCATCGCTGAATGTCACTACCACTTATGCCCAAACAAATGTTTCACGTGACAACGATTAGTAATCTGTGATTACTTGCAGTCGGCTGTTAGTCCTTTGTCATGTCACGGCATCACAGTTGTCACAGGCGACCTCAACGCGAAGATAAGAACGGAGTCCAGCACATGGCCAGGCTTACTCTTCCGTCAGGTTTTGACTGCTGCAGGTATCTGTTGAGCTGTTTTGCGTCAAACAGTTTAATTTCAGGGTGACGTGTTCCCTCATAAGCGATTCTACCAACGTACATGAAGAATCCCTTGACGAAAGCTTGTAGTCTCAGTTGCACCACGTTATCATCAACTGCAAATAGTGCCGCTCTTTACACGATTTTGGCGTAAGGCATTGAGCCTCCATTTAATCAGATCACCATTTATTCCTAGCAGATTTTCGTGTAAAATTTGTCGTGTCGCCTCGTCGTCGATTGATTACAGCACAACAACGTCTCAGTGGTCAGCAGAAGCATGCAGTCAGCCTACAAAAAGAAAGTAGAGTGCTACCCTTAGTGCCAGTCTGAAAGTGATAGCATTGATGAGGCTTACAAAGGCTTCAAAGAAGCCGTCATTTCTTTTCCGAAAACATAGTTTGAACCAGGAAGGGAATCAAACTGTCCTGGGACGCAGGAGCTTCTCTGGTCCAAATGATGTAAAAGATGATTACCTGCAGCACTTTTCTGCATCCGCTAAGGCAGACCAACGTCATCTTGTTCGTGCAGTCAACCAGAGCTGTAGACTAGCCAGAGACCTTTGGTATGCTGGTGAAATTCAGGTAGATCGATATGGCAGCCAGAAAGCATAACTGATGAACATGTTCCAAGGAGAACGACATCTGTCTTCTAAGCAGAGAACTCGCTCGGCCTTTAATTAAGAAGCTACGTGTCCTCTTGGCAGATAAGAAAGAAAATCTTGAAACATCTGCTGAGAATTTCCAGCGGCTACGCAACTGCGGCCCCCCAGATTCCCCCTTCCCCCAGTTAATATGCTACCACTGCTAGATGGTAGCGTTGATCCTAATACAAAATAAAATGTCCAAAAAACCTTGCTACCTCTCAGGCTGAAGGAGGCTTGTGGTTTAAATCACATTCCTCTGGAGTTAATATGTCGGAAGGGGGGAGCGATAGAAATGCTTTGTCTTCTTTCGTAGTGTGGACTTGATAGTTTTTCCCTGGAAATTTATGCGTGTCTAATTGCCACATGTTTATTGAGGCACGGGCAACTAAGTGCCCTAACTGTCGTGGTATTATCCTACAGTCCTCAGCCAGAAAACTGTTTCTTGGATTATCCTGAAAAGTTGAATGAGACAGGCAGTTGATACAGAACTCCAGCCTAAGTCAGGACAGACTTCTAGACGCGGTATTCATGTCCAGATCAAATTTGCTCTCATTATTGGATCAACGACGAGCAATGCTGCCGATTCTAGTTCCTTTGGTTCGCCAATTTTCTCGACTTTAAGACTTCACTTCATGCGTCACATCGTCCGACGTTGTGAAAAATCTTGAATTACTGTGTGATAGTTAATCACAGCATTTCAGTTTTGGAATTGATCTCTGCTAGAATCATGTCTTCTCTCAAAGTTGAAGGACAGCTATCTGAATGGCTCCCTATCAGCTGTGTAGTTCCTCAGGTAGATGTACTTATGCCTCTGCTATTCAACATTGTTCTCGACTTTTTTCTCTGACACGGTGATAAAACTGGCAGAGATAATAGTTTAATTCTGGAGGGAAGGCGCAGTTCAAGATATCTGGCTAAACATCTTGCTGACCTGGATTACACATATGATATTCTCCTGGAAGCGGTTATGTCATTTTGCGGTTTCCCTGGGCAACACAGTTGTGACATTTGACTTATTCAGTAACGCTCGAAAGTCAGAAGTTATGAGGAACCAAACCAGTACAGCTGATTTACAAGTGGAACAAAGAGGTAGCGCGCTGAAATGTGGTTGACCAGTTTAAGTATCTCGGTTCAGTCATTTCTGGTGATTGAACCAACAGATTATAGTTAACTGGAAGTATTGCCCTCACATCAAGTGTGCTTTTGGCAACCTGTCAAATATTTGTGCTGAGAAGTTGATAGCCTGTTCCATAAACATCCGTCTGTACTTCGCCTCCATCAGGTCAGTGCTGTTTTACTGCATAGAAATGGAAACATTTGTTACAGCGAAGGTGGAAGAACAGCAGTTGAATTGCGTACAGTAGCACTGATTTAGATGCATAATGAGAGTTAAATAACATGACCATGTTAGGAATGACCCCGCTGTCTGCCAGGCTTCCAGGCACAGATGACTTTCATAGACATAGAGATTATGGTAAGGAGGTTAGCCCTGTCCGACAGACCGCATAAACAGAAACCTTTTATTCCAGCCCTTTGACTTCTTGAGCAGGAACCAAAACACCCAGACGTCCTCCGTGTGGCCAACCTGCAATCTAGAGAAGCAACGTAGAGGCAAATCTGCTTTTGGAGAGGAATATCTTTTCTACAATGCAATAACCGATGCCTTATAATACACGTGTTGTAAAACTGTGAACGGAATGTAGATCACGGACCAGAGACATTCTGTTTCTGCAGTTCAAACTGAGGAGCACACACACACATGTACCGTACTTTATTATTGTATGTAAATAGCATAATGTTGGATTTTGGTCCTATGATATCTTAGGGTTGGCATGTATTTGAATTTTTTAAAGGCAGCGTCGAAAGTCAGGTTTTTTGTTCCATGTGGTTAAACCATTTTGCGTAGAGACCTGGTTGAAAGGGTTCGCAATTCGGAGTGATAAGCTAATTCATACCAAAGTTTTTTTCGTATACTATTTTTGTAAATCGTTGTGCCTGATAAATCTGATAGATGATCATACGTAATAAATATTCCTGTAAGAAAAGGGTCATTTGCAATTGCTGTGAAGCATCGTCATCGGCGGTTTTTACGGAACGTTATTTTTTACATTAATGTACGATATTTTTGTACGTTATAAAGGGGTGTATAATTAATTGTTTGTACCATCAGTCTCAATTAAGTCCATTTAGTGGAATTTCCACTAACTGTTTTTGCTCTTCTTTCAAGTTCCTATCAAACAACGCAAAGTTTTGTCTCTTGGACAGCACTTTTAGTAACTGTTGTTGACCTTGAGTATCAAATAATTTTCCAAAATTTTCGGAATTTTTCAGCTTGTAATATTTTGTTTTATTTTTTAGTGCATTTCGTCTCGGGGATGGTCCTAAACTTGACATTTTCGACATTTCGCCTGTGACAGCTGAAAGTGAACCTCCTCTGTTACCGGTCTGGCGGTTGTTAGACGCAAAAATGCAAGAAAAGATGTATAAACCAATTCCTCGTAATGGCTTTGAGGAGATGATTCAGTGGACCGAGGAAGGAAAGCTCTATCCTTATCCGGTGAACAACGAGTACATGTTCCATGAAAGAAACGTGCCCTTTTATGAACATATATTTTTGGAAAATTTGATTAAAGATGGCTTCCCTTCTTCTGGCCCAATACGACATTTCATGGAGTTGGTCACTCATGGCCTATCGAAAAATCCATTCATGAGCATTGAGAAAAAGCGCGACCATATTGACTGGTTTAAGCAGTATTTCAAAGAAAAGAAAGGCGAAATCGATCGATTACACGAAAAAGAACTTGCGGTTTCCAAAGTGTCTTCCAAGGCGGCTGCGAGAAAAGAGTGAATTGTTTATATTGTTTTTGATTATTGTGGCATAATTTTGTCACTGCTTTGAGATTATTTTTCGATTATGTGATTTCGATATCCGTGATTTCGTCTGTTTGTTTTGCCTGGAATAAAATGATTTCAAAACTTGTGAAAGTCGTATATATCAAGAAGTTCTGGCTTTTATATTTTAAGTATCAATTAGCTACTGGAGTGTTCCTCAATTACTCTACCAAGTTCAGTAACGTTAGACTTGGATATGCAGTTGCTTTTCTGAAGCCTTTTGAGAAATATGGATCAGCGGATATGGAGGTCACAGCAGGGGTGAATTCCATGACAAGCAATTTCCTTTGTCGTGCAGTCCATTGGAAAGACGGAAGATCATCTTATCTGCTCATTCGTTTCGTCTGATTCGGTGTTAACGTGTCCTATGTTACTGTCTTTATAAGAAATCTTTTAAAATGTGTATCTTGCTGTTTGCCCCTTTGGTCATTTCAATGCTTCTGCTTTCGCTAAGAATTATTTCTGATTCTACTCTATGAATCATTATTAACATCAAAAATATCCATACGTCACTTTTGTCGGCTTATCACTATCGAAGAAAGCCTCCATTAGGCGGTGGAGAAATCTTGATTGGCACTCCCTGAGGTAAGAAGCCAATATCTTGCTCATCTCAGGCCTCGCCGTTATCACCTCAACAACAGAATGTTGTACCTTGTATGTTTTGTGAAGAAGTTCTTGCACCAACAAAGCGAACATTGCTGAACCCAGTGATGTAAAATTCACTGTGCCGCGGTTTTCTGACTTATTGGATCATCGGTGTCTTCCGCGTAAGCTTAACTCTCGCAGAATACTTTCGGATCTCTCAGATACCATTCTTGTTGTCTCAAGAAAGTATTTCAAGTTTCGGTTAGGTTGCGTTATATATCATGAACGATTATGCAACGTGACAGCCAATATAATATATTGTTTGGTTTTAACATACGTGGTTTTAAGAGTGAAGCATCCGATATTTTTCAGATTACACCATGTCTGGAGGACACGGAATGTCCAGTTTCAAACGGGTTCAGGTATCACACTGTTCACAGAGAAAGTCATTTACGTATTTTTATTTAGCAATGGCTGACCTTTGCCCGGCAGTGGCATATCATTAATGCTGCTTGGCAGGACCCTGACAAGCTTGCTGCGAAAATCATCGTTTATTTGCGAGGGATGAACAAACCGATTTTTCATGGTTCTGGTAAGTCATGTGTGTAGTAAGCTGCAGATGCGATATTGGGAGTGCCACCAACAGAACAGTTGTCTGATCTGGTTTTTGGAACAGTTTTTAAATAAGTTCTTTAAGTTGACTGTGGTGATCACGTTATTGTTTACAACTGTCGCCATATTGCACTGAGAGCCTTCGACTGGAAAAGAAGAGATTATTACTTTGACAACAGGTGACTATCACATTGTTTCATTATTTTATTTAACGTGATATTGCTTTAGATACCCTCGCGGTCGTTCAAAAATCCCTGCGTGGGAGATTCATAAAGCGGATCCTTGCCGGGTAGAGCTTTTTCATACAAAATTTTGGTTCTATCGTATTATCGTATGATCGTCGCAGGATGTGACTTTTCCAAAAAGCTTTTTGCTCAAAGTCGATCAATGTAACGCGTTTGAACCTGAACTGATTACTAGCCTTTCGTTCTTCTGAGATGAAAGAGCCAGTGCCATGCCACTTCTTCATTCATCGGAAGGAAAGAAGACAATAAGCTCTATAGTGCTGCACGAAGTTCTGAAGTGGAGTTGAGATTTCTTGCCTCGGAGATGATCATTCAAACTGTCATTCTTCCATTCTTTTAGATTCATTTTCAGATCAAGCAAAGAATTATGAATGATGTTGAAGATTCAGTTTAATTACAACGCTACATTCCAGAGTGATTATCAGGAAAACAAAAATGAGTCTTCTCTTGGGTGTAGACAACGCGTTCAAGATGAAGTACTCTTAGCAGGTAATGGTACAGCGAATATCCGTGCCACTGCCTATATAACAAATTCGAAATAATTTTTTTTCTTTAAGAAGTTTTCTATTCTGAGTCCATAATTCATCACCGGACTGTTTTTGCGATATTGTTTACGGTTATTGATGGTCAAAAGTTCCAAACGTGTAGCAGAGACGAAAAGGCTTTAATAATAATTGATGAGTTTCTTTATCAATACCGGTAGCATATTCAGGACTGAGAACTTGGATTATTATTTTCCATTTGACCGACATTCTATCACTTAGAGGCTTTCCTAATAAACGGTCACCTGCTGACAATTGACTTTCACATGTTTCATGGTACAGGTTGTTTGTTGGTGCTGATATGAATTACAGTGAAGGATATCGTCAATCTGTAGAATCGCAATATGTAATTGTCGATCATTACATTATATAACTATATATGATAATCGGCTTTATTCATTGGCTTGGTTTTTTAGATAATGTTCATGGCAGTATCCTATGCGCTTAGAGGTCCTCATAGTTTTGGTATGCGGCGACTGTTCCTTGAACGTTTGCACGTATTTCCTGACAAGGTAATTTTATCTCGGTAAGCCATCCCTAGTTTTTAATCATTTTCTAGGAAATCCCCAAAAAGCTACTAATGAATGTCAGTTCCCAGCTTCGACAAGTGATGCCTATTCCAAAGACATATGACGATTACACAGAAGAAGAAAAAGCTAAGTTTCCGGCTCTTTTCGACTGGTACGTTTTCGTTTCTTAGACTGATATCTTTTTCTATATGTCATGACTGTGCTAATATAGAGTTTGTTTCAGGCCTAAAGATTTTACTGGAGTTGAATAATAATTTTCTCTGTGCATGTTGTTAGTTTATGAAATTGATGTACTTCTTTAGGTTTGCAAGTTCGATGTCTTCCTGAAATGTGTACAGTGATTTTAAATTTCAAACGCATTGTGACTAACGAACGTTGCCAAATATTAATCTCGTCTTCACTTCTAAAGATAATCTATTCAGGCTACACTTATGCTCAAGCTATGTCAGCCTTAGATGACGAAAAAATCGTTCCTGGCTGAAAAGTATCGTTTTTTGCTGCCATTGCAAATACCGGTAGCCAACAGTTTCCCGGCAAAGGTGGTGGATATGCAACACAAAACGATTGCTAAAACTTTCTTGATATGGCACTTCGTTAAATATGCACACAACTCCTAACCTTGAACAAGACCCGTGAGATACGGGCCAAAACGTCGCTACTGGTCATTCATTCGTTGGACCATGCTGTGTGCGTTGTACGAAGATTTTTGTTGTTTTCAGTATGACCACCAACTCATGAACAAGATACTCAATCTATGAATATATATGCAATTAATGTGCATAAATAGGCCAATTTGCATAAAACAGTTACTATCAGAATTCTACATTATATGCTATGCCTGAACCTAAACTCATGCACAACGTAGCTGTGCTATGTAAATGGAACTGCGACATATGACTAAAAAACTAACGCATCTGTATTAGTTTCGTCAAATATGTGTTGCTTAGGTTAACCATCAATCTGTGCCGCAAATTTTGTCAGGCCATAAACAGAGGTTCGAAGTGTTCTGCTCACTCTTAAGAAGGTTTACGACTTTTATCGCTGCATCGAAGGAGTCACAGGGGGTATCGTGTTTGATCTGCACAGAATTGTTTTTTAGTCATCAAAACAATGTTTAAAGAGAACGAAATTCATGATTACTACAAATTTGAATTACATTGGAGATGCTTTTGCTCCAAAGTAGAAAATGGAGATACTTTTGCCTTTTTGGAGCTACTCAGTTGAAGCCCGCAATAACTTTTACGTTTAGGACACTCCGCTGTTTGACTGCATTCAGTTTTTTAGGGACAGCGTCATCGAAAAGGAAGTTTCAGTAACTGGCAGAGAATTCGCCAGGCTATTACTAATAATAAAGGAGTTCGCATGCTGATACGGAACCAACAAATCGACCATGACTACTCACTTTTCGATATCCTTCAAAGTTGGCTACGGTCAATGGTCTACTACGCAACATTTGATTTTGCGACTTTTCACCGAAGATTAAACTTCTGATAATTTAGCGTTGTTTTAAACGTTGAGTTGTCCTCTATTTCATTCAATCGTGATCGATGCTGCTCGTACCGGCAACAGTCTTAGTTATGGAAGCGTTACGCTCTGATGTCCCTTGAAGTGTCTTTAAAAAGGTTTGTACAGCTGAGTAATTCCGCTCTCTGCTCAAACAGACGATGATATGGTGTATAAGATTAATATTATTAGTATGACATATTTCCCTTCTTTAGCCATTCATATGTTGCTGTCCTCTTTTAGCAAGATCATTTCTGAGTGTCATCCCGCAGCAAACGAGTCATCATTATGTATTTTTTACGGACAGGGGTCTCACCTGCCGGGTTAGCATTTAAACTGTCTTTTTGTTAATAAGACTCACTGATACATAAAGAAGTCGGTGAGCCCACCGTTTCTATCCGGCTTTTCAGTGTTTGTCACAAATCATAGCGGCCATAAAATCGCCTCACATAACTCTGCTAAGCGATCCTTTACGTTCATCATGCCTACATGACAGAGGCACTGGAGATATTGAAAGCGGAAAATCTTTGCATAATGCAGAAGATGACCTCACGAATGACTTTTTGAGAAATATCGTGCAATTAGTAAAAGATAACTGGCGCTGAAGTAGAAAGTGGAGCGTACAATTTATTCAACTAACCTATAGCTTAAGGTAGTCAAGCCAGTAAGAATTGCATTATGAGACTCATGAACAACGTTCAGTGCGAAGTGTGATCTTTATCCAAAGAAAAGGATACGAATCAGGTTCCTGCAGACGATGTTATGCGTGGTTGCTGCGGGCAGGGCGCCAATATTTTTCTGTAACGGCTCTAGTCATTAGTGAAACCACTTACGATCGCAAGGCGTAACTATCACCAAAACCAGGATGAAGTGAAGGTGTTGTAGCAAGTTTTTTAGAAGCTGCTTAAAATAAGCACATTTAAGAACTCAACTAATAACTCTGATGCCAGTCATAGAACTCTTCTCAACCAACATTCGTTGCTGACTTTGGTTTGACTTCTGAAAGGCGATTTTCCATCGAAAGACAGGAGTTTGATATCACTCTCTTCTGTTTTTGAAATCCGTCATCTTAAGGTGCATTGCTCAGCCTATGAATTCAAGGCGGAAAATGACGAGTTCTACAGGATGTGTGAAAATGGATGGATATAGCACACACGTAACTGCAAGCGGTTCTATCGTGAAGGCAAATTTATTATTGAGAGGAAGCAGTACAAATACGAATATTATATTGATTGAAACAGGCACCTGAAGGTCTGACAAAGCATGGGTATTGTCTTATTGGAATACAATATAAACATGTTGCAACACTCCATAGCAATTCTTAATCCTTGGAACAAACGCTCCTGTTGCCGAATTTCGTGCAACCAAAAATCCTGTGAAAATACGTATTTGGGTAAGACTCTTGAATATTAAAGTATGTAATATAAAAGACTGTGCAGGCGTTCATTTTTATGAATAAAACCCTTGCAAAACTAAAGCTCGACTTGATCTACTGGTTCAAGTCAAAGTTGAAGCCTTCTGCAGTCGGAGTTCTGAAGGTGTTTCCTATCGTTTCGAAAGTGAACAACAATCACTCTATTAATCAGCCTTGCTACATGTAGTCACGTTGTTTCTTTTCTAGTGACAAGGTACTAGGAACAACTTTGTCAACATAAAAATAATTATGGAAAAGTTTTGCAATCTGACCAATCGATGTGCCTCTGCTTTCTAGACTGCATTGAGGTTCTTAACTCCTGAGCCACAGGAAGTATGGAGCATCGTGTTGGTTATGAAATTTATTCCTCACCTCTTTCGACCACTGCCAGAGTTGCACAGTGTATAGCAATTGGTAGTGTTAGAAATTGGCCATTTGACGAATTGATTCTCAGTCAAAAAAAGAATGCATTGGCACTGCCCCTGGTCGTCGACCTTATTTTTTATGGTTCACACGTTGCACCGATATTAACCTGTTGTCGGGAGGGTGGTCAAGCAGAATTACAACCGTAAAGTGCATGGCTGTAAGTCTTACAAGCTCCCTTATGAAAATATCAATTCACCATATTGATCGCAAATCAGGTACTTGCTGTTTTTCGACTGAAAGCACAGTGGCTTGAAGTACTAAGTCAAAGGTACATGATGCTAATAAAAATAACTACCATTGCGAATTATATTTAGCTCATTGAGCAAAATAATTAGGTGATCAATGCTGAAAGGATCTAATGCAGTTTTTCAAACCAGACTAATCTTGACCACAAATTGCTAATACATTGACGACGTAGTACAAATCAAACTTTGCAACAAATGCAGCAGGTTTGCATTGAATTATTGAACACTTCAACGCCTGGGATTGGTTTTAAACGCAACCTGAAAAAATTAAAGGGACGATAGTGGCTGAGGCGGTGGAAGAGAGTTTGCATACAAGTGGATTGAGTGGAAGAAATTGGTGGGGGCCACAAGCCATAAAAACATGATTCGACTAAACAAACTTCATTGCAAGTGGCAAAGAGCACCGTCAACAGACAGTACATGTGATTGAATCTCCCATAACTCACTTTATTACAAAGATTTACATGGAACGACTCAAGATATGCCACTTCGAGTAGCTACGCTTCAACATGAAGCAGTTCCTGTTATTTCGCGGACTCGCAAAGCAGGATTATGAGCGTGAATATCCGGATAATGTCCAGGTAAACATCAAATTTACTAATGAGGTTGGACAACACAGGAACATCCCTCCTGAACATCTTAGCATATGTGATTGGAGATAGAGTAATCAAAGATGCTGCTATGCATAGGGAAATATATTGGTTTTTTGATCATTGAATGGCTGGTCGCAGAAGCAATATACTTTCTGGACGTGAGAATAAGGTGCTCTAATCCCACTATTCTTCAAGGACCAATCTAAAGTCTCATCAGAAAAATATGTCATAGTACCTATGGTATTGTTTCATTAAAGAACAGTTTCGAAAGTCGACCAGAAGCTTAACGAAACGCTAAAAACTATTGATGTTTCCTTGTGATCATGCAGTGTGAAGCCGGAGAATTAAAGCGTATCAAAACTCTTCTGTTATTCTTACAAAAGTATTCTGTAAATTTTGAAATGGTAATGTAAATTTGGAAAATGACAGGCTCTGCGTTATGCACAGGTAAGTTTAGGCTTCAATTACCGTAGTTTCCTATATCGATACCGCGCACGTTGTATGTTTTTATGCTCGTCAAAATGCATATATAACACGCGTCTTGTAATATTTAATCCTCATGAAGATGCATAAATAGCGTGCAGTCTATTTACTGTCTGAAAATAGGCAGTTTTCAGATAAATGAGTAATGGAATAATATGGCTGGCTGTGACTGTATCTAAAAGAAACGAATAGAAGAATAAACAAAAGTCACCACATTGCTTCTGGCCTTTTGACGCATGTATTCTGCAAGTGTTGGTTTTAAATTGAAAGTTGCTACTGAGAAAAATACTCATGGAGGAAAATATACTATGCGGAGAAAATCATATATAGCGATGCTTAAGCTGGAAGCCGTTAGTTTCACGAAAGAAAAATGGAATCGTGACCAGCCAGGAAATTTAGCGTTAAAGTCCAGTGTACGTGAATGGAGAAAAGAAGAAGCAGTTCTGAAATGTGTACACCTCAAGAAACGTGCAATGAGGTTACAGGAGTTACTTCTGGCCAGAGCTCGAAAAAACACTTCTCGAGTTTGTTCTTTCAGAGAGATCTAAATGACATAAAGTGTCAATAACCAGTTTTTTGTTGAGGACTAAAATGGATACAGAAGAGGATAAAATAGAAAATTTTAAAGCTAACCCAACATGGACTTTAAGATTTATAAAATGAAACAATTTATGTACTCGTTGATCTTCTAGTGTTGGCCAAGAACTAGCCGGGAAGCGAAAATAGAGAAATGTAGACTTCGCGTTAAGAATTTGTGTGAATGTTAAAATTTGAAATTTGTGGAAAAAAAGAAAATTTGTGTGGTGAGGATCCTGCAGATTTTGGCAATATGGACGAAATGCCCTCTAGCTGCCTGGTTCAATGGCGATTAATTTTAAAGGATCGAAAGAAGCTACAATCGGACACGAGAAGTCAAATTTTACTGTCGTGTTAAGCGTGACTTATAATGGTGGGAAGCGTCCTCCATTGATTGTATTTAAGTGAAAAACTGTGCGTAAAGGAAATTTATTAAAAAAATGTGATTGCAGCGAATGAGAAGGGATGGATCAATCAACGCATATTGAAAGTGTGAGCTGAAAATATTTGGACAAAAAGAAGTCAAGCCTTTTTAATCCAAAATCCTAATTAATAATGAACTGTTGCCGTGAGCATATTACTGTTGATGCGAAGGGGTTAGTAGGCAAGTATTCAAAATTGGCAATTATTCCAGGTGGATTAACAAAGAAGATTCAGTCGCTGTTTTATACGTTAGCAAATCTTTTAAGTCAAAGTTTCGTTCCAGATGGGAGAAGTGGATAATGATTGGATTTGAGGACTATGGTAAATCAGGAAAGATTAAAACAGTGTCATATGAAGAAATGTGCAGGTGGATCGTTGAAAGTTAGCAGGGTGTTACGGTGTCTTGTGTAAAAAATGGCTTTTTGAAAGCTTTAGGCGATACTTTAAATACTACAACGCCAGAAACAGAAGATGACGAGAGATTAATTTCAGAAAACGAACTGAGTGATTATGTACCTGATAAAATTGTTTTTGATTCATTTTATATTGATTCAGATGAAGAGTTGTGCGGCTATCAGTGACTTTATTATAATACGTTTGAGCAATAAATATTTTACAGTATTTTTTTGTTATACTAACCTGTATATTCACTGGTATTGCAATATATACATGGTTTCAGATTCATTTATTTTCACAATAAACGCAGTTTGAAATTACCGCGCACATAGATGACTTGAAAAATTTGGAAACTTTTACTTTTCATTGCATAACGTGCGCGTTATCGATGGAAAAATACGGTACTTTCGTAATTAGACTCCTCCCCATAACATTGCCATAGCAAGTCGATCAGAAAGTCACAAGGTATGGCCATCGTCAGGGCGTATTTCCATGGCAACGGTTGCCAGGATACTAGTACGAGACATAAGCGTTGCCTGGCGTGCTGAAGGCTGATCATTGTAACATGGTAAAAGCATTCATCAAAGCTTCCAGTTTCAGAATAAGTTTGGCAATTTACCCTTTATAGAGCGCCAAGGATCTAGTGGCGATGTGGATTGTTCCCCTCCAAGACAAAGTTCATCGCATTGAATTTGAACATGGCACAACGACAGGCCGCAGAGTCATTCGTGTTGATGGCAAGGTAGGATTCCTTCAAGCATTTCGACCCTGAAAATAAAAGAATCATTCGATTTTAATTTAAATGATTGTTTCTCACAGTCATATTGCATGTTTTCATGTGAAAAATTAGTATATGAATACAGCGCACTTAACTGCAGTGATTCTTTCTCCCGCCTCTGTCATTCGCATATCAAAAAACGTTTTTTCTTATGTGACAAGACTCGAGGCAAAAAATTCCCACAGAAATGTCCAGTGAAAAAAGGCACTGTGAAAATGCCTGGGAAAGTGGTTTACGCATTATGTATGCTATTTTCGAATACTTAAAACATTGTTGCTCTGCTGCCTCTGAATACCTATCTGCACATGTGATAGAAAGAATCATCTCCACTAATGATTTCGGGCCATTGAAGGAATGGGTCTTTAATTCTGTCGCCCGCACATTGCAATGTCATCATATGTCTACACCTTCACGAGCCGTGATTTATGATTAAATTGATAAATTAATTTTGTATAAAACATTTAAGCTAATGCTAAGTCTAAGTTAGAGTACTGGTTAACAACCGTTCAAGAAGACCTTTAGTTAAATCTAGTTAAGAAAGTGCTCTTTAGGAGGTTTCGCGACGGAACTGGATGATCAAGTTAGTGGGTAGAGAGTTTTTCACGGTTGGAAAACATTCGTGTGCGATAGACATAGAATCTGTCGGAACGTTCGTTTACAAGTATTCCTTGGAAATCGACGGAAAGCCGGTGGAAAAGTTCAAAGAGCAAATTTCCAGGCTGCTTCTGATTTGGAAAACGGAAGTTGACAAATTTCCTACTCGGATTTGCCTTGGTAAAGGAACTTTTGCCAGTGATACGCAATAACTATGTGGATTTTAGATAAAAGCACGCTCGACGTTTGGGTGAACGGTTCGAAAGTTGATTGCTCAGTATGATAATTATCATGTGTTCATGTATTTCTTTAATTACTAGTCCAATTAATAATATCAATTTCTTACATGCAGCATAAGCTAATGCGGTAGCGGTCGAAAAAGATGCGGGGTGGAGTATTAAGCGAAGTTGCTAGCTGTAATCTAAGCAATATACAATGTATTCAGCAAAGGCAGTGTTGCATCGTTCCATAAATGTTATTCATTCCGAAAACTACTGGAATTAAGTACGTAGTAGTAATTAGTTTTTCCATTGCATTTAATGACAAGTTCCTAAATTGCATTTAGCGTTGGATTCTGAAAATCAGTACCTTCGTCATACTCTATGGAATGAGGATATTTCCATGGTGAGAAAGAGGAACAGAGAAACCGCAAAAGAAAGAAGTAATTCTACCCGAGCTCATCAAGAAAATTCTGAAGGTGTCAAGCCTTACAAAACTGTCAGGAACTGGATTCAGCAGGGGTGAAGGGCAAGTCCAAGAAGCCTGACAAGCATGGGCAGTAGTCATAATCCTTTAACAATGTTGAAAGAGATGGAAAGGAGGAACGAAAGTGGTCCTTAATCCTCTGCGTGTAGCTCAAGCTGGATTACGGCGGACTGCATCACATGACTGACGGAGAGCCGATGAACATTGGCAATGATAGACTGATACTCAAAGGGTTACAAACACTCAAAAAGAGGAGGCCATATCCGAGGAGCCGAT